TCTCCTACAAGAGCTCTTTCTTTTTTCCTAAAAAATTTTAACAACTCCCAAGCCACAGAAAATGAGAAGAAAATGTAAGTTAGAAAAGATTTTGACAGCACCTCCCCACTCTCCAAATTTCGGCCAACCTTTTTACCTTCCCCCAACTGGGGTTCTATATCAAAGAAAGGAGAAAGGAGAAGCCACCTACCAACCTCCCTGGTAGCCGAATCAGGTAAAGGAAGAGAAGAAATGCATTTAGAGCGGAGGAAATGCGGCCTAGGGCAGAGGAAGGGTTGGCCAGGTGGAGTTCCACCGTTGGAGGGTTGTTCGGTCGAGAGGAACTCGAGGAGACGAGGCCGCATGCGTGAATGGACCGCGTGTGAGGCGCGACTGGCAGAGAAGACGCGGGAGAGGAAGATTGGGCTCGGCGAGCCATGGCGTCGCCTGATCGATCCCTGTCTAGAAGATGAGTCGCGGGAGTTAGGGCAGGCCTGAGCTGTTCTCGGTCGAAGAAGGGAAAGAAGAAAAGAAAAATGCAGTGGGTTAGGTGAATAGAGTTTAGGTTTTATAAATATTATATAAGTATGAAAATATTTAATTTTTAAAGTAAAAATTTGATTTGCACATTTTAATATAAAAAATTTGATTTGCACATTTTACTTTGTGTGAAATCATTGCAAATTGGATGTTCTTTTTAGGTAATTTCGACATTTCGGACGTTCCGGCGCAGTCCGATTCGCCGACGGAAGTCGTTCTGACGAATTCATCGATTTGCACGTCGATTTTCTCTTGTCGAATATATGGCAATATGAGTGTCTTTTCCTACCAAAATGGGCACATTTTAATATGCGTTGGCGCAGTCCAATTTGTCGTCGGAGGTCATCTGGAGAAGTTCGCATTTTCACCCGTCCTTTAGGCTTAATTGAAGTCCGATTTCGTGTAATTTCGTGAACTTTGTGTATTTGATGTGTGTATATGACGAAAAATGTCGTGACGATGTCTTCCTAAGGCTTGAAGTCCTATCAGGAACTTTTCCCTTGAGTCTTCGCAAAATAACCTATAACCACTCGTTTATAAGACGATGGTCTTGTGCCAAAGATGCTAGACATCAAAGGAAAATAGGAATTGACTAGAATTTTCTAAAAGGGTGAGTCTCAATTCTAGTTTTCTAAGACGGTCAATAGGAACTCCTAGAACTAGATCCTAGGCTCTAAGGAGGAGAAAAGAAGACCTCACAAAAATGAGGTCAACAGACATACAAATAGAAAATACATAAAACATGAATGAAATATATAAAACAAGAAATATAGGAAAAGGAAATAAATCAATGCTAATAATTTCTAACATAAATGACAATATCCAAAATCATCCTTCAACCATCACAAATAGTCTTAACCAATTGGGTTCAAGATATATTGCTTAGCATGTTTTGTTTACCTGTCATTTGTGCACAAAAATTGGTGAAGGGAACTTAAGAACATTGCCGCTTTCAATTATCAAGGTTCTTGAACAAAGCTAACAATTAAAATAATAGCAAGTAGCAATAAAAGTTGATGTCATGCATTCTTAGGAGTTAAAAAGATCATATTTGCATCTTTTTTTTATGGGGATCATAAGACAAAAGTCACATGCGCATGATGCACCACACATCTCAGTTCTACTAAACAAGGTATAGAATTGTTAAATGCGCCAAAAAAAAAGGGATCCACAAACTAGCATGTGACAACTATACATTTAATTTCTTGCAAATAAAAGAGTCCAGAAAAATGATTCCATAAAATGAAAGAGAAGCCGGAGAAAAGGTCAAATACAGGGTGAGGGCATGGAAAAATGTTGATGAAAAGAAGTCATCACCATCGACAACAACCTAAGAGGAAAGGGCACATTATAGTTTTCATAAGGTACGGAAATGGAAGAATGAAACTGCTTGGATTGATGGTACCGATGGGAAGTAGGTATTATGTAGAAGTTGAAAACTATAGCGCATCATTTCTTTATTGTGCTACCGGTTGTTTTAAGTACTAGTTCTTAACCGATTGTCATGATATACCACTCACGAGGAGGGAGAGCATTAAATATTTGCCAAAAGATTTGGCAATATGCTAAAATGCATAATCAAGTTAAAAGATGGTATTTTATTTCTTGTCATGCACCAAGCACATGATGCTTGTCTTGCTATTTTCTCAATAATTATAATGTGCAAATCTGTTTCGAGTTAAAATGTTAATTATTTTAGCGAACCTTTTAACTCTGATCAACTGTTTTTACCTTTTTGCAATATTTGGCGTCCTATATTGTCATAAAAAAAATTAATTGATAGTGATTTTGCTTGTACAGATTATTTGTACTGTGAGGAAGCATATTCTTCTTGGGGGACCTAAACGCCTTGCTTTCACCATACCTGCCTTGATATTTTCTGCCCTCAAGGTCTGTTTATCTCATGCAATTACATGAATGCATTATAGTGCAGAATTGATGTCTCGACTTTAATATGTCCCATCAAAAATTCTAATCTATAATTGTCTGAAAAATGACCGTTGCAAGTTCTTGAACTTTCTGGTTCCTTAAATGTATATAACTTAAGAGTAATGTAAAGGTGACTAATCAATTTATTTTATCTGGCACTTTTTAGTGCTTCATGCTTTAGAAAATCTGCCTAAACATTACAGCGCTGAAGAATTTTCCATAACTTCATAATGTTAGGGAAAAGTCAGAAATAATTAACTTTGTAGGATGAATAATAGCTCCAAGAGTATTTGTTGGATTGAACCATTAAAATTTTAGCTGCAATAATTTTGTTGATCCTGCAAAGCAAAGTTTCATAAATCGGATTGGAACGATGTATGCTATTTATGTATAATGAAATCTAATGAATAAGTACATGAATTTTTTTTTAAATCCTTATGTTTTTAATGTCTGTCTTATTTTTATCAGAACTGATATTTTGCTGCTTAATACTTTCTGTTGTATATTGAAGGAAAAAAGATAAAACGCCGGTAAATGTGTGAGGGCCAATATATGAACTGTAAGCCTTAACAAATTATGGGTCTTTGGGAGTGATAAGTAAAAATCTGATGCAGTAGCTATTGTAAGGTCAAGAATATATATTTTTTGGTTCTGCCTATGAATCCTGATTTCCTATTCACTTAGGATGAATGCTACGAGATATATTAAACCTTTTATTTTAGCTATTCATTTTTTGTGCATGAGAAATCTATTTTAAAATTCCTGAAGAGAACACTTATTGTCATAATAATTAGCCTTATCCCAACTATTGGGAGTTAATTTTATGAATCCTTATTTTTCATTTGTTCCATTTGGGTGTTTCTATACTATTAAATATATTCTTTCTAAATCATTCTCTATTAATTTACTATTCATATAAACTTAGGTCTTACATGTCTCCCTTTCTAACCCTTAGACACTACTTTTATGTACTCATTTAATGGGTACATTTTTTAACTTACGCGGGGGTTTCCCACACAAACATTTGTGTGGTACTGTAGTTGCTACAGTTTTGTGGGATTCGCTGTCGTGTGAGACGTGTTGAAATAGCCTCGTTTTCTTTTCTTATGCTTTCTTTCCTATTATCCTTCGTTCATTTTTTGTCTTTTTCTATATGTGGTGTATTAGGGTTTGAAAGGGAGGCTTTGTTGTGTCTCGATTTAGGATAGTTGTCGACGCTTGTTTCTCCCTTGTGTTTGAGGATTTGAGTGGTGCTCCGGCTATATTTTTTTCCCGAGGTGGTGATTATCTTCTCTATGCTCTTTCACACCCCTCCCATATCACTCTTGACCACTTCGTCCCTGTTGCATCCACCCAGGACAGCAGTATTTTTTTTTTTTTTTTTTTTTTTTTTGGTTGGCAGATTCCCCATTTCTAGCTGCCTCCCTCCCTTTCCTGCCTCGCTGACATCCCACAAAGCCAACTCCACCCCTTCCCAACCTTCCCGCATCACTCCCAGTCGCCGATCCTCGCTGCCACCATCTAGGAAACAACAACTGTCCAGCCATCATTCTGACTTGATGCCGCCTGAACTGAAGCCTATCCTGCTGTCCCTACAGTACCTGCTTTATGTCCCCTCACCGGACAACACTCCTCTTGTTGCCCTGCAGTCCACATCCCTTCCCCTTCGCTGCTCCTCGCTTCTCAACCACCCACAACCCATTTCCAACCACATACCTTCGCTCCCCAACCACCTAGCTGACCTCCACCACCCATGGATCAAGCCTTAGTGTGAGTTTGTGTTATGTTTGTTGTAATTTCTCTTTCAAGTGTGGTTGATTGTAACTACTTATTTTCTTTCATTAATTATCTTTGTTTTTCCTATTGTAGTTTAGGTTAACTTCGGTATCATGGCATATGCATTCAAATCATCTACGTATATTTTTAGATATGTTTTGTTCAACAAATGTTACCCCAACTATTTTCTCTAATGTGATAACATTTAAATTTACCTTCAACAGATTGTATTTGTTTATATTTGTCTTTTTTTGATATTTGCTGTAATTAATTAGAATTTGTGAAATTATTTTAGAATATTTTTATATTGAATACTTTCAGCATGGTTAACAGCAGTATATTTTCAATTACGTTATGTTCGACAAATATTACCCTAAATATTCCTCTAATATAATAACGTATAAATTTACATTAAAGGATTGTCTTTGTTTATATTGTCTCTTTTTATATTTGCAGCAGTTTATTAGAATTTGTGAAATTTTTTTAGAATATTTTTATATTGAATACTTTCACCATAGTTAACAGCAGTAAGCTTTTGACTTGTAGTTGCTGAGACGTTTGCAAGTTCAAGACAGAGATATGGATGGGGACGATACTCGTTCCACTACAAAGAAAATATTTCAGATATTGAATCAGGTTAGTATTCTTGATTGGTCTTGTTCACGTATTCAATTAGAATGTGATTTCTCTTCTCATGGTTATTGATAGTTCTAAACACAAGTCTACAAATCCTTCATGACACATCCAATCCATCCTACCCAATTTCACTTTAAAAACCAAAAAGATGGGTATGGGATGAAGAAGCTGAAACATGCATCAGCTTCCTTTTATGATGGAAGCACATGAAAATATACTCTGTGACTTACGTGCACCTGCTTATCAGACAACAATTTGCTTAATTTACATAATTTTCTCTTAGTTTTCTTTGTAACAGTGGATAGAGTAGTATGTATAATTTAAATTGCTGTTGTATAAAATTTTGTCTTGGTGTGGCGAAGGAAGTGGTCTCGCTTGTATAGGAGTGCTGATTGGAGTGCACTCCTACATTCCAGCGCTATCGAGAAGTTGAAGAACATACCTGTTCTGGTAAGAATTGGCTGTTTTCTGTACCTCGATACCCAAAAATACACCCAATTGGTCCTAGTTGTTTCAGCTGGAACTGGACAGACATGTGGTCGGTCATCTTGGAGATGGCAGTGGGATCATTGCCTGTAATGATAATGTCGTCTGCGTAAGTCAAGACAAACATTTGAACATTGTCTTGATTATATATTAGTAGAGATGGATCTGCTTTGCTGATGTAAAAACCGCTCT